ATCACACTCGCGGCTACGTCTCTGGTCCACGGCACTGACATCCCTCACCTGGACTTAACTGTAGTCTCCTAGCATGTCTGCTGCCCAGCCTATCCTAACATACCAGCCATACTGATCAGACATACAAAGTAAGTCATGTCTTATCGCTCCTCCATACAAGACCTTCCAGTGGCTTCCTACTGAGCAATAAAAACCATGGTTCTTGCAAAACCTACAAGATCTGGCTCCTGCTGTCTCTCTGAGCTCATCTTCACCTATCCCCCATCCATCCCGCCCGTCACACCAGCCCCCTTGTTGCTCCTGCGATGTTCCAAACACGCTCCTACATCAGGATCTTTATGCTTGCCGGCTGCCTTCTTCTAGAACGTTCTTTCCCCAGATATCTATATAAACTGATCCTTTACTTCTTTTAGGTGTTTACTGAATATCCCCCTCTTAATGAGGCCTTCCCTAACCTACCTTTGTAAGACTGTTTCCTGACATGTGGTAGCCACTTTCCCCTCCCCCTCCTCCTAACATTCTACAGTTTTACTTTTTTTTTTTTTTTTTAAGATTTTATTTATTTATTTTTGACAGAGAGAGAGAGACAGCGAGAGAGAGAACACAAGCAGGGGGAGAGGGAGAGGGAGAAGCAGGCTTCCCGCCGAGCAGGGAGCCCGATGCGGGGCTTGATCCCAGGACCCTGAGATCATGACCTGAGCTGAAGGCAGATGATGCTTAACGATTGAGTCACCCAGGCGCCCCACATAGTTTTACTTTTTAATTTTGTTTCTTGTCTGTCTTCCCCCACAAAAATGTAAGTACCACAAAGGCAAGGATTTTTGTCTGTTCACTGTTCACATATCCCCATCATGAACAGCAATGCTTAGGATTTGGCAGGCTGATAAATCAGTACATTGTAATCAAACACTTTTTGAACGGCCTGACTCCGTGCATGCAGAACAGGCCTGATATACAGCTGCAACTGTGCTCCTTAGGAGGCCTCTCCCCAGTTGACTTTATCCCACCCCCAAGACCTACAGGCACCCCGGCAGAGCTCTTCCAGAGCCTTCCCTGGATAAGCCACTGCCTCCATCCTGATGACAGGCCCCTCGCAAGAGAAAAGGGAGGAGTGAGCTCAGGGTTCTCAGTCCCAGCCACTAGGTAAGTCTCCCCTCCTCTCTGGGTATGGTACCTTCCTATTCCCCAACTCCAGCTCCTCATTTTCTGGGGGAGAGTTAGAAGGACAGAAGGAAGCTCCTGGGTTCTTGGAAAATAGATGGCCCTACCCTCAGTGGAACTTGGAAGAATGACAGATGACTGTTTCCCTATCCCAATACTCCCTAGCATCTCGTTTGCTTACCTAGTTTGGCTTCACATGGCAATGCTAGGTAATGCTAACAGAATATGCCCTACATAAGGTGCCTGCTCCGTCTCTCCTCCCCACCCCCCACCCCCCACCCCCAGTCAGAGCAGGGGAGAGAGAGCAGGGAGAAGGGGGGGCCTCCAGCCTTGTGCTCTTCCCTAATAGAAACGGTCTCATCAGAAATGGAGGCAAGAGGCGTTAGGGAAAAGTAAACAAGAAAGGTACTCACTTCCAAGTGAACATGCACCCCGTGGGCGGAACGGACCTATAAATGACTAATTCCAAGAACATTAGATTAACATCCTCCTACTCTATATTTTGATTTAATGGAAACTCAGCTCAGTGAAACTGAAAAGGTCTAAAGGTTAATTTGATAAAACTGATCACTCAATTAAAAGGTGATGTTCCTTTAGGAACATTATACATTAACCTTTTAAGCTGGAAATCGACAGTATGGTTATTCTATTAGTAAAAACAGAAACCAAAGAAGTTTTCCCCCAACTGGTACTGTTTTGTTGCCAAGACATTGCAGAAAAGGTACATCCACCAGAAGGGGAGACATTATTTTTAATTAAAATCATTCAAGAGATCCAGCCAGAGGCTACCTCCGTTGCATGCTGTTCTGCTCTAGTAAAATGTCATTACTAAAAAAAATTAAATGGGTCAATAAAGTCTGAGCTCTACATTATGGAAAAAATTACAGCTTCCTAATTATGTCAAACTAACATAGCTTTATGGGTCTGAAGGCAATTTTTCTTTCAATTCCATGCTCATACTCCATCCAGAATGTTCCCGGCCAAGGCCAGCACACTGCACTGGGAAGCAGGAGCCGTAAACAGGCAGGCTGCAGACCATCCACCACCGGCTGGAGGGGAACTTGATGGGAACCAAGAAGGGCAGCCCTTCTCTATCCGGAGAGAACACAGGTCACTGAGGAGATGCCTGCTCCCTAGTCTTCATGTTTCTGCATGAATCAGCTACCCTGGTGTGACCCCAAGTGCCTTCCTCAGCCTCCTGGCAGGGGAGAAGGGGGACTTCTCTGATCAGTAAGCTGGCCGAAGGAACCAGGCACAGACAGGGACATGCACATGCACCTAGCCATGGCTCCTTGCTCTCTCCTCTTTGGGATCTGCTTGCTTATAGACAGCAGAAGCCCTGCTGTCCTCTCTCTCATATGCCAGAAAGGGGGCTGCTCCCGATCTCTGTGCTCCATAGATTGTGACTGTTCAGTAGCAGGAACGGCTGAGTGAGTCTGTCTAATTCCAGAGCCTTCAATAAGGCCACCCACTCTCAGACCTAAGCTCTGCCTGCCACCCTAGATTTCACCAGTGATCAAGCTGATCACTCGTCCATCTCCATCATGTTGACCTGACCCCTGCATCCCAACTCTCTCCCTTCTTCCCTCCCTCCCTCCCACCTCTCTCTGGCAGGAAGAAGAGGTGTGTTCTTTTCTAACTGCCTACCCCTATAACTTCAACATAGGTCACATGGGGTTCCAGTCCAGTTACCCTTCACCAAGGGACTTCTCTATGTCAGGAACTTGCACACATCTCTTCTAATCCTCAGAAGAGCATCATCCACATTGAAAAAAGAAAACAAGGACGAGATGGGAAGTGAGCTCTAGACACTCACACGACTAATACCTGGCAGAAGTGGGGCTGAACTTAAGTGTCACTGACCGCCCCCACCCAAGCCCCTGCTCTGTCAAAAGGACCATAACAGGGGCAGGAGTGGAACACAGAATGCATGAGTTAGCAATGAACAGCTGCCACTGGGAAAAGGAGTAAAAGACTGAGCTTCCATAATAAGGTGATGGATTCGTCAAGACTAAGAAAGCCTCAGGAACTAGAGTTCAATCTGATGCTCAAGCCACAAGACCAGTAAGAGGCAGAGCAGGACCGGCCCCCAGAGATCCCAGACGTCAGTCTGAGCATCCGCTGCCGGTAGCTGGGAAAGAGGAAGCCCTGGCCAGCGGCCAGCTATCCCGGGTGACATCAGGGAGTGGATTCGGAGTGGTCTGCAAACACGGACACATAGTGTGTGGGAGCTGAGGAGAAATAAATGCCTTAATATCACTATTCTAATCATAAGTTTAAAACTACTGCAAAGTTCCAGAACAGCACCCTTATACAATAATCTTATAAATGCAAAGAAATGCGTTGCATTTCAATGATACCGTCTTATGTGAATCTCTCAACTAGCCGGGGAGGGATTATCAGCCCCTCTGTTTAGAGCAGGACTCCACAAGCTTTTTTTGAAAAGGGCCAGATAGTAAATACATCCGACTTTGCAGGCGATGTCGTCTGTCACAGTCATTTAATTCTGCTGCCGTAGTGCAAAAGCAGCCAAAGATAACACGTAAATGAACGGGCTTGGTGGTGTTCCCATAAACTTGATTCAGGGACACTCAAATGTGAATTTCATTTAATTTTCATATGTAGTGAAATCTTGTTCTTTTCCCCCAGCTGTTTAAAAACTATTCTTAGTTCACAGGCTGTACAAAAACAGGCAGCAGGGTGGACTTGGCCTCCAGGTGGTCATTTGTTGACCCCTGGGTTCAGAGACGACATTGGGTTTTACAGCTTGACTTTCTCAGGTTCACAAGGCCAATAAGGGAGTGGGGTGGCCTGTACTAAACCAACATTTAAAACATTCGCCTTGTTAGATGCCTTTTCAAGGCAAAGGGAAGTGAATAATGGATTTCCATGAAAGGCCTCTACAAAAACTTATGTAACCTAAGTTGTCAGGTACTCCAGAAAAAGGAGCTGGACAGCGAGGTTTACGCAAGTTTTGTTAAGCTTCCCAAAATGACTACAGCTTCCATTTTTATGGACTATGAAATTAGTACTTGATATCCATGTACAACTCTGGAAATGAAATTCACACTGCCATCTAGTGTTGAGCTATCACTTTAACTGAGAACTTAAAAATAAGGTCTTCTTTACTATGCACTAAGAGTAATTCACTACATTCCAAAATTATACAATGAAATACACTTAGAAGTATAAAGTTGCCGATGATGACATTTCATATGTCCCACCCAACCTTCTCGTTAATTCACACAGGACACTGGAAGTGCAGTCCTATGGTAGACGGGCCACACCATTCATTACCAGGTGCAAAAGCACAGGGAAGCACAGGGGACAAGTATCTGCTCTGTAATACTCCTGCATCTGCTGAGAGCTGGAGTCTATTCCAGAACCCATTTTGGAAGTCTCAATCAAAATGCTTTTCTCTTTTGAAAAAGCAACCTAACCAAACCCTCTCTAGATGCAAGAGTTCTTGTCATGCGTGTTTACATGACTTGCACCGTTCCATCCTTTGTTCAATAAGCACGTACTGAGACACCGGTGTCTCATTCGTGTCTATGTGTTTCATAACGTCTATGGTACATACAGAGATACAAACACGTGGGAGCATCAGCAGAGAAGATCACACTGTGGGGATATCATGACCCCAAGGGCATGCGGGCTAGCAGAGCCTACCGTGGATACAGGAGCTCCTCCTGCCTGCTCTGCATATACCACCACCAAACTGATCCTCCCCAAGACAACTCTGAGTTAGTAAGTAAAAAGTAAGGATAAGAGGCTCAATAGAAATACAGATGTGGGGAAGAATTCAGTCACCAAAGCCACGGTAAAAAATATGCACTTACCTATAAGCATTAATATAATCTTTCCTGTGTTCCAGAAGAAAATCTCTCAGTTTGCCAATGTGTGAAATCTAGAATCAAAAGAAAGCAAAGAGTTATATGGACAGATACATTACACTCACCTGCAATAAATTTTAAATTAATAGAGGACGGAATGCAGGTTGTAGACAAACTTTGAAGCTACAAACTGGACAACTTTGGTTTTGGATTCTCATGTATAGTTGAGCCTTGAACAATGAGGGGCTGAGGGGCGCCCACACCCCCACAGTTGAAAATCCTTATATAACTTTTGACCCCCCCAAAACTTAACTATTAGTAGCCTGTTGACCAGAAGTCGGTTAGCACATATTTTGTATATATATCATATACTGTATTCTCATAATAAAGCAAGCTAGAGGAAAAAAAAAATGTTACTAAGAAAATCATAAGGAAGAGAAAATCCATTTATAGGACTGTACTGCATTTATCAAAATAAAATCCACATATAAGTGGGCCCACACAATCCAAACCCATGTTGTTCAGGGATCATCTGTCATCACTAACTTGTTGGTTAACTTCCCCAAAGTCACCCACATTCCTGGGCCTTGGTCTCTCATTGACAGTTCCCTCTTCCTATAAGAGTTGTGATATGATCCAAGATGTTAGGAAGGGATGATCTCTAAGGAACTTCAAGATTAAATGAGATAATGCATGTCTAGTAACTATCCGCATGTACTCAATAAAGGCCAATTCCTTTCCCTACGTGTCTTATACCTAAAATTTTATAGACAAATACTCCTTTTTCCGAGTGTCCTGGGGATGGATGCTAAGGCTGGAGAAATCAAGTTTATAGAAAGGGCTCCACAGAGCAGCAGAGTTAAAAGCTTCAGGGGCAACGTTGGATCCCACCCAACACAGCAAACCTCCATCTTCCCAATGGCCTACTTCCCCAGATGAACAAAAATGACACAAAGGTATAAAGGACTCTATTTGTGATGGCTGGTATCTAGTATAACAAAATCCTACCCTAAAGCACCTGCCACGTGTCAGCATGTGGAGCTAGGGATTAAAAAATAAGTAAAATAAAATAAAAAGAGGTAGGAAGAAACCTACAACCATGGTTGACAAAGACAAAAGTGCTTCCAGAAGGAAAGAATGATTAACTAAGCTGGTGGCCTGCTCTGTCCTTTGACCACTGCTCACACTAGCTTCCTCCTAATGCCCTTTGTACTTATTCCAAACATACATAACACCAGCCTTGAAGGGTCTGCTGAACTTTCATCTTTTCCATGAAAGTTTTTCTGTCAAGGCCAACTCAGGCTAATTTTCGCTTTGCTCTCAACTTAAAAGCACTTCTGCATACCACCCACGTGGCACGAAGTTACACATGGCCCCATCCTCTGGCTTCTCCATCAGTGGGATTATGAACCATGTAAGCAGGGGCTGGGCTGCTTCCCCGCGGTTCTAAGCACAACACGGAGCACAGAGGGTAGTCACTGAGTATCTGTGGAACGAGTATATGTCTAAATACAAAGATAGTATTTATCACAAAGGAAACATTCAGCGTTTGCCTGCAGACAGGTCAATAGGGGTTCAGCTAAATTTCCCACAAAGTCTAGATAAATAATAAATATGGTTCAGAAAAGTACCTTCAGGCATTTGAAGAGCAGAACTCAAACTAAAAATGAAGAACGGCCATAACATTCACTAATTTACCAGGTAACAAACAAGGGTTGAGAGTCTGCCTGACACCCCTGGCCCTGTGAGGTACGTTCACTAGCACGACCTCGTTCTCCCCCCACAGCCCTGTTGTGGGCACAGACAAAAGTGCTCTCTAATATTAACCAGTCTGGGAAAGTGAGCCTCACAGAAGCTAAGTGATTCATCCAAGGTGACACATGTACCACGTGGCAGAGCTTAAAGGTAATCTCAGGACGGTCTGAGTTCAAGTTCAGCATGTTTTCCTGTACAACATAGCTGCCTTCCTTATACCCTTATTCCTATTTTCTACTTAAATGCATTATAAAATCTGACTTTTAAGACTGTGGGGAGAACATTTAAGAGAAGTACAAACAAGGTGTTTACCGCACCACATATACGATTTGATCGTTACTCTCCTGTTCTAAACTTTCAATGGTTTCTATCCCCTTCCCCAACCCCTACCTACAAGGGGCCAGGTAAACAGCACACACGAGTAAAGCAAGGGAAGTGGATGGCGGTAGTACATTTGGCAGTGGTGAACTCTGGATTTAAAATATGCTGCAGCCAAAGGAAGCAGCTCTGCGGCTGATTTGCCAAAGGGCAGCCAACCATAACCTCTGGGCCTAAACAATGGGGTCAAGCCCAAACTCCCATAAAGCACTCAGGGCCCTTCCCAGTCCAGCTCCAAGAGTCCCGTGTGGCCTCAGTCCCTTCCACACTCCCCACCAGGTTCCAGGCTCCAAGTCCCAGGACTTCCCAACACGCACATCCAGATGGTTCTCCCTTTTCCTGGAATACCCTACCAACCTCCCTCCCTCGCAAACTTCTCCTCTCGTTTCTTCCCTACTCTGTGTTCCCAGGCACAGCCAGACCCCACTCGCCCACAGAATGTGGCATATATACGCATTTCAGCACCCTTCCCTCAAGAAGGCCACAATGACTCGTTTTAGACTGACTTCCCTTCACCAGATGGCCAGCTCCTAGAAGGCGAAGGGTCGTTTCTCTTTCCTGTTCTTGGAGAAAAGCAGAGCCTCACAAACTTTCACTACGTGTTGAATAAACAGTGGGTATTGAATAATCCCCAAAGGATTATATTGACTGTTGTAGGCAGAGTAATGCCACCCTCGCAACGCATAATCCCTGGGACCTGTGACTATATTACGTGACAGGGCAAAGGAGAATGAACGTAGCAGATGGAATTAAGGTTGCTCATCAGTCCACCTTAAAATAGGGAGATTATCTAGGTAGGTAGGCCCTGCATAATCACAAGGGCCCTTAAATGTGGAAGAGGGAGGCAGAAGACAGAGGCAGCGTGATGCCATGGGAGAAGGACTCAATCCAACACTGCCTGCTTTGAAGATGGAGGGGAGGAGCCAAGGAACAGAGTCCGCCTCTACAAGTTGGGAAAGGCAGGGAAATGGATTCTCCCCTACCGTCTCCCCAGAAAAGAACACAGCCCTGCCAACGCTTTGATTTCAGCCTAGGAAGTCCCATTTTGGACTTCTGCCTACAAGACCATAAGATAATAAATTTTGTTGTTTTAAGCCACTGGATTTATGGTCACTTGTTACAGCAGCAAGAAGAAACTAATACACCTTGTCTTAGTGTAAGCTGCTGTGACACAATCCCACAGGCTGGGTGGCTTACAGGACAACACAGTCTCACAGTTCTGGAGGCTGGGAAGTCCCAGATCAAGGTGCCAGGAGACCGGGGGTGTGGCGAGAACCCTTCTCCCAGTCTGCATAGAGCTGCCTTCTTGCGGCACCCCCACGTGGTGGAGAGGTGTCACCTCTCCTGTGTCTCTTCTTATAAGGTCATTAATCTCATTCATGACCTGATCACCTCCCACCGGCCCCACCTCCTCCCACTATCACACTGGGAATTAGGGCTTCAACATATGCATGGCGGGGAGGGGGGAGGTGCGGCACACAAACATTCAAAGTAGGTTAACAGGGTTTTTTTTGTAGGAGTCATAAAGTTTTCCGTAAAAAGTTTTAACAAGTCCAAAGGAATCTAGCACATAGGCTAGATCCACCGCCCACCCCCCACGGCCCCCCACCCGCACCTCTAGCTGGCTGTAGTCTACCAGGTTACAATGGTGCAACAGGGTGAGTGTCAGCGGCAAGAAGACCCCACAGGCATCTCAAAAAACATAATTAGAAGAGGTTTCACTTCAAGTATAACAAATGCGATCCCAATTTCTCATGTTCTGTAATGGCAAACTTCTATAAAATAAATTTATTAAAACAAACTGAAGCTTGTTCAGTATTAAATGGAATTCTTGGTAAATTAAGAGGTATTAATTACTGACTTAACAATATCAGTATAACTCAATACTTAACGTGAGGATAATGAACAAAATAATATTTCAAATGCATAAATGAGCAGTAAGATTTCTGTAGGTATTTGACAGCCTTGAAATTCTATCAGATTCCTAAAATAAATACATACATACAAAAATCACAACAAATCAATAAGAAAAAAAATTTCAATAGGTCTTTGATTTATCTAAATAGACACCCTTAAGTCCCAAATAGCATTATATGATAGGGCTATCTTCATCATGAACGATTTGACAGTTTAATCACCCGACCACCACCATCTTTGTAAAGATTCTTGGCCAAGCTCTGATCTGTTCACTGTTGTGCTTAGTCCTATTTTTGAGAATAAACTGCCAAAGATAGTGTATTTCATATGATTCTGATATGGCCCTTACGTTTTCAAAATTTTAGAGGTTGAGTACTTGTATGCTTTCCATTTTGAATGCTTCTACACATAGTGCTCGTTTTAAAAGAACCACTCGTATGTGTGTATCCAAAGAGAATGCCTCTTACTTTTAAAAGGAGAAAGGCCATTCCAGTGTTAAGTCTGACATGGAAATCAGAGTAAAATGAAAGTCTTATTGCCCCGTAAAGATCTGAAAGTAGGGTCGATTGCTTAGTCTTGGTATCACTGAATGACATGGGGAGGAGGGCAGGGAGAGGGTCCTGGGAGGAAACAAGAGGTCACTGGAAAAGTCTGTGGGACCGGTGGGTGACAAAATGCAGGGGCTAAAACCAGGGAGTGTTCTGGGGGCTGAGCCATGCTGTGGGGCGCATCACAGCCTCGGGCAGATGAAGGACACACCATCTTCATAGCTCTGTGCCTCTGTGACTGCTCTTCTTCTGCCTGCTTTCTTTATTCCAACTCCATGCCACCAGAAGAATCCCTGTTCATCCTTCCAGGTTCCACCTAACGTCACCTCCTCCACGAAGCCTTCCCTAACACCTTCCTTAGTATTTTAGAGATACCCATTAGCACTTCCCATAGAACATTAGAAGTATTTACCTGTGACCCCCCACTAGACTTCAGCTGAGTTCCTTGAGGTCAGGATCTATGCCCTCTATTCATC